TATTTTTTAAGATTTATTTATTATTTAAAAATATGTATTTATTTATCATTTATTTGTTTATTTTGGCTGTGCCCAGTCTTAGTTGCAGCACACGGGATCTTCAGCTGCGGCATGCAGACTATTTAGAGGCAGCACGTGAACTCTTAGTTGCTGCATGCATGCAGGATCGAGTTCCCTGATCAGGGATTGAACCCAGGCCCCCTGAATTGGGAGCACGGAGTCCCACCCGCTGAACAGCAGGGAAGTCCCTTATTTATTTATTTTCTTATTTTTGGCTGCATCGGGTCTTAGTTGCAGCACTCAGGATCTTCGTTGAGGCACGCAAGATCTTTCATTGCAGTGGGTAGGCTTCTCTCTAGTTGTGGCACATGGGTTCCAGAGCACGTGGGCTCTGTACTTTGCGGCACACAGGCTCTTTAGTTGAGGCACACGAGCTCAGTAGTTGTGGTGCAGGACCCTGCCCCAAGGCTGCACTATTGTTTCTTGGCAGCTCCTCCCTTGTCTCTGCATCCCCTCCCTTCCCTGATTAGCAACTGTTTGGACCTGCCTTTTAGGACTCAGGGAAGGTGCTGGAGGCTGAAGTCTATTTCCTACAAACAAGAAATGGGGGACCAGAAAGGCTTTCATGCCCAGGAGCCCCACAGGGTCCTGCTTGGTTTCAGAAGTGCAGGGTCTCTGTTTGTATGTATCCATGCATGTATGTTTTGTAGATGTGTGGTATTGCCAAAACTAATTTGTAAAAGAGCTCTGTTTAATTGGCTTAAGGGAAATTAAGTGCTTATGTAGATACTCAGAAATATAAGACTAAGCTAAATGAATTTCAGGATCATATCATCTAGGATTAATTTTTAATGAATGAAAACAAGTTTTGTTTAATTAATACAGACATGTCTTTAGACTCATCAGCGTTAAGTGTAATACTTTTATTGTACTTAGCTTTACTACAAGTCAAATTAAGATCTGATTATTCCTGTTACAAAACTTGTCAGCAAGAAAAATAACTTGATATGATAAAACTGAAACAGAGCAGGACCCTGTGAGACTCCTGGGCACGCAAACCTTTCTTTGTCCTCCGTTTCTTGTTTGTAGGGATCAGACTCCAGCCCCTATGACCTTCCCTGAGTCCCAAGGGGCAGATTTGAACAGTTGCTAATCAAGGAAGGGAGGGGATGCAGACACAAGGGAGGAGTGGCCAAGAAACAATGGTGCAGCCTTGGGGCAGGGTCCTGGTTCCTCGTCAAGGGATACACATAACAATATCTTTGAGCTCTTTACAGAACTAAAACCCCCAACAAATGGAAGATGTTAGCATTCTTCATTGCAGAGAAGCTCATCAAGAGACCATCTGAGGCCAGATTAAAGGAACCAGAGAAAGTCATCAGGAGACCACCTGAGGCCAGATTAAAGGAGCGTAGGCCCTGCACACACTCTGATCCTTATCAGCAACCTGCGTTTGAACCATTGCTATAAAACTCAGTGAATCCTCCCGGCTGGGGACACACAGTTTCGAGGGGCACAAGCCGTGTGTCCCCCTGTGTCTGGCAGAGAAATAAAGCCCTTCTTTTCTACTTCACCCAAACTCTGTCTCCAAGATTGGATTTGGCGCCGGCGCACAGAGGCCAAGTCAAAACTTTTAAGTAAATTAAATGTACATGAGGTAAGAGTTTTTAGGTGAACTCTTGAGAAATAATTATGTTCTAGGACTGTCTTCTTAAAATGGTTCCTCCAGATTTTTAGTAACTTGGAACTGCTAAATTAAGTTAGATGGTGTAGACTGAAAAAAAAAAAAAAAAGCACAACCTAAAAGTTGAGCTGTTTTATTCGGTGGACAAAACTGAGGACTTAAGTCCAGGACAGAGCATCTCAGATAACGCAGAGAGGCTGCTCTGAAGAGGTGAGGGAGGGGCCAGGATGCAAAGGGTATTTTGCAACAAAGACCCGGTAGTTGGAGCTTCAAAGGATCACTGTTAATGAAATCATTCCTTTGCTATGCATCGTAGCCATCTGGGGCCAGTATCCCATGCTTTGGCAGCCTGAGTTTCCTCCGGGTGCGCTGTGCAGGGCGGGGCAGATGCAGCAGCTGACGGTTTGATGGTGGCGTCCTGTCTCCATCCTGAGCTCCCTCGTGGCTCACCGTCCGGGATGCGGCTGTAGTGACTGATGTCTACAACATCCTTTGTTTACTGACATGAAATATTGATAGGTAATATCTTCCATTCACAGCGGGAATTCCTCGAGTACCCAGGTCATTCCCAAATAAGACACTGGAACATTAACTGCTAAACAAGCCTAAGTTTTGCTACTTTTGCTTTTCATTAGAGAAAAATTAAAGATGTTTGGGTTCACTGGACATGTACTCCACTGAGGAAAGAAATTAGGTTACAGAATATGGTTATACATGTGTGTGTGATATTTACAATGTAATGACTACGGACACAACATACTTTTAAGTTTAACCTTCATTGTTAGCATTCTCTCTATCACTTTAAGTCTAGACAATCAAGAAGACAATCAAGCCCTGATCTGTGGCATTTGCCAATATCCGTGGTGTAAGTACTCCCACCTTTGCTGCGTTCAAGTGGCAAGTGTGTTATCTGTGAAAGTGGGGTTGGATGAGAAGTGTGGTGTACAACGTTATACAGACCTCCGCCATCCCAGGCAGTTACAACAGACAGACAAAAATGGGTAATAGTGAATGAATACAATAAAATGAAGTTACATTTTTAAAAGAATTTATTTATTTTTGGCTGCGTTGGGTGTTTGCTGCCCACGGGCTTTCTCTAGTTGCGGCGAGCGGGGGCTACTCTTCGTTGTGGTGCATGGGCTTCTCATTGCGGTGGCTTCTCTTGTTGCAGAGCATGGGCTCTAGGTGCACAGGCTTCAGTAGTTGTGGCTCACAGGCTCTAGAGTGCAGGCTCAGTAGTTGTGGTGCACAGGCTTAGTTGCTCCGCGGCATGTGGGATCTTCCCGGACCAGGGCTTGAACCTGTGTCCCCTGCACTGGCAGGCGGATTCTCAACCACTGTACCACCAGGGAAGCCCTGAAGTTACATTTTTAACAATGGCAGTGTTTAATGACAAGCTTATAAAGTTCCTGAAAATTTAGCAATTGGCTCTCGCAAGCCTGTGTCAACTGTGGGAGGTGAACCACCACAGTCCACCTAGAAAACTTTTAGCAGCCCTCTTTAACACTACCTGGTGACCTCTGGTCATCACCCTGACTCTGGGGCATGCACCTCCCAGACTCTTACATGTAGTCCGAGAGGGCCTTGTAGGAGGGTCCCCACTGTAGACTGTCCATAGGGTGGGGCAACTGGAAGCAAGGTGAGGGTTTCATCCTAGGAGAATGGAAAGCTAAAATGTGGATACAAGATCAGCACAATCGCACCTGTCCACCAAAGACACCAACATACATGCAACAGTACTTTATGTCTGACACACACATCAGGACACAGTTTCAACACATCGTAGTGCTGGGCTTCGGGAATGCTGGCGGAAGGAAGAAAAACCGACTCAAGTAAAATAAAAGCAGAGCTGGGCCTCACTCCAATCTCGGAGGCAGCAGGCCCTGATGGGAAGGGTCTGGACTGCTGACCTCTCCACTGCCCAGGTGAAGACGGGTGAGGCACTGGGTGCTCCCTGACCCTCTCCCCTCACAGGTCTGGATGAAGTGGACAGGCTGGGGCCCTGTGGCTCTGGTGGCAGAGGGGGATCTGAAGGGGGGCTCGTACACAGGTACTCTTTCCGGAGATGATGAGGTCCGGGTCCAAGCTGTGGGAGGGAGGGGGCAGAGGAAGAGACACAGCGGCTGGGATGGGAGGAGCCAGGAGGCGGGGCTGGGGGCCCCTCCTGCACCACGAGCTGCCCCCTGTCTGGGGCACCCTTCCTCCTGCTCACTGCATGCGACTTCTTTTCACTTGAGGGGCAGCGTGCCCTCCTCAGAAAAGGGCCCTGGCCACGCCTGGTACATCAGTCCCCACCCCTCTCGGTCTGCCAACAAGCTTGGGAGCACCTCCAAGTTTGCTGTCCTCATCCACAAGCGGTACTAGCCCGATTCTGGGCGCTATGACACAGATCGCTGGGCGCAGGCAGGGAAGCCGGCCTGAGGGGAACAAAGGGGTGAACAAAGGGGTCGGCCAGGCAGGAGCTCCCTCCCTCCAGGGAGAGGGCACCCGCTGTAGACTGAAGCCCCAGTTCTGTGCTGTCCTTGATTATGCACAAGCCTGGCTGGGGTCTGTGGCTGGTAAGAACCGCCCCCCAAGGCAGGGCTGACTCCCTGGGGACCGGACCGCTGGTCCCCGCCCGCCCCCCCACCCCGTTCTGGCACCTGGAAAGGGCAGGCCCAGACCCGGTAGGTGCGGGGCCGCGGTACCTGGAGAAGGCCGCCTGCAGCTGAGCCCGAGGACGCGGGTCAGCCGCGGGCGTCATCACTCAGTCCTGTCTTGGGACAAAGCACTGGGGACCAGAGAGGTTGCCAAGCTTGAGAAAGCTCGCCCAAGAGCCTGCAGTCCTGCTGTGCAGAGTATGCGGCACTTCCGTTACTCGGTCCCCCCGCCCGCCTCCTCTGGATCGCCGACCCCGCAAGGGCGAAGGTTGGGGTCCGACTCGCTCACCACTGTGTCCCCAGCAACTGGAACTGTGCCAGGCACGTCGCAGGTGGTCAGCGCACGCGGGCTATCTAGGGAACGGACGAGAGCTGGACCCCACCCGACTCTATTTGGCAAATACTTCTCTAAATGTCTTTCTGACCTCGACAACCTCTCGCTCCCAGCGGCGTGACACTCCGGCGTCCTGGCCGCCCCACGGCGGCCGTCCGTGGAGGTGGCGGGGTCGGGGGGGGCTCGCCAGCCGGTGCGTCGGGGTTCCGTTCACTTCAGGGCTGAAGGGGGCGTAGGTCGGCCGAGCCAGCCCACTCCTCTGCTAACGTCATCTTCCGCGGCCCTCGCGATCCGGCCACGGGCGCCGCCATGTTACGTTACGGCGGCTGGCGGCCGGTCCTCGCGCCGCCGCGAGGCGTCTCTCCGAGGCCCCGCCCCCTACGGTGACGTCACCGCCGCTCGCCCTGCGGGGGGCGCCGCCATGTTGAGGGTCCTCGCCGCAGGCGCGTAGGTGTCCTCATAAGATGCCGGCTCGGCGGTGGCCGGCTTTTTCCCTCTCAAGATGGCGTCCATGCGGGAGAGCGACACGGGCCTGTGGCTGCACAACAAGCTGGGGGCCACGGACGAGCTGTGGGCGCCGCCCAGCATCGCGTCCCTGCTCACGGCTGCGGTTATCGACAACATCCGCCTCTGTTTCCACGGCCTCTCATCGGCCGTGAAGCTCAAGCTGCTGCTCGGGACGCTGCACCTCCCGCGCCGCACGGTGGACGAGGTGAGGCGGGCGGCGGTGCGGACGCGGGGCCGGCCTCCCCCTCGGGGCCCGAGACGCCGGCCCTCGCGGACCCTCCTCCCCCGCTCCCCTCCCCTCTCCCGCCCCTCGGACCCTAGCAGTTCGCGGACCCGTTCCCCCTCCTCACCGCCCCCCCGCGG